GGCTGTGAAAGTGCCCGTCTCTGTCACGTAGGCACTCAAACAGAGCTGAGGCCCATAAACACAAAGTGCAGCGTGTAAATCCTGGCAGCCTGACGTCTCCCAGCCTGCCCTCGATGGCTGCTCAGCATGTCTTTATAGAGAGGGCAGGAGAGGAGAGTCCTTCCTTCCCCTCTGGGAAGACCCCACTGGTAAGACTACAAGGTCTACCAGCCAGCCACCTCTCTCCTAAATCAAATACACGACTTTCTTTCGGAGAAGACACTGGGGCTACTGCCTCATTGACCACCCAGCCGCTTCTCCCCTAAGACCACCACTTTCTTTCGAAAAAGACACCCATCACTATACAGGGGTCTTCGGCAGAGTTCCGTTCCCTAAGCAGCTGACATAACCTGAATTTGTGTGTCACGATTCGGGACAGTAGCACCGTAGAAAAGTCATATTCACAGATGGGCTGAAACGAGTCTTCGATTAATTTGGGTTATTTCGGTTCAAAAAGTTGCTTGGGGCATTTTTACTGCCTCACTTATCAGGAAGAAGTGAAGCTACCTGCAGCAGCAATTGTTCATGCCATGCATGACAGTAACATGCGGCCAAGCGTGGTGAGAAGGCCAACTTCCATATCAAGCATCGATCCGTCCATCCATTTTCTAATCTGTTTATCCTCACGAGGATTGCGGGTGTGCTGGAGCCTATCACAGACGTTGTCGGGCTGTATGCAGGGGAAACCCTGAACTGGTTTTCAGCCAATTGCAAGGCACACATAGACGAACAACCATTCGTGCTCACAGTCACACTCAGGGACAATTTAGAGCAAAGGTGTCAAAGTCAAGGCCCGGGGGCCAGATCCGGCCCTCCACATCATTTTATGTGGCCCCCGGGAGCAAATCATGTGTGTCAACTTTCATGATTCTTGCTGAAATCTGTATCGAAATGTCAAATTGCCATGGGTAATAAATAACGTTGCAATTTTGCTCTAAGGGAAGCCGTAACTTCGAAGTGGCCCGCGACAAAAAATGGGTTTGACACCCCTGATTTAGAGTTTTCCATTAACCTGCCATGCATGTTTTTTGAATGTGGGAGGAAACCGCAGTATCCGGGGAGAACCGCAGGCACGGGGAGAACACACAGAAAGGCCGGAGTCAGAATTGAACCCTCTACCTCTGCAGTGTAAGGCGGACATGCTAACCAAACAATCACCGTGCCACCTCAATATAAACCTTTGCTGACCAAAGAATATATGGTACGTTTTAAATTTGAAGTTATTCCCGGCAGCGTGTCGCGTCATAATTGCTGACTTGATTCGTCATTCAGACCGTCTGAGCCATCACAAATTGTTGCTACCGATGTCCAATACAACATCATCCTGGAATAATTTTTAGTCGCTAATTAAAAAAAAAAAAAAGACCTCATTATGCTGACACACAGTGTAATCTTTAATCTCACCCGATTAAAATTAAACAATTCCACACTGGGGCCAGGGAAGTATACTGTGGTCCACAGTGGTCACACGAGCCAAACAATTACTGAGGGTGCCGAGTGTTCCCGCGCATGGTACTGGATGTGTAGTGTTTGTTGGCTTTGAGAGAGGAGGGGCAGAGCACAAACAAGTACATCCCGGCATTGCTCAAGCAAGCAGACATATGTCCACATACTCCCACGTCCTTTGTTAGCTTCCAATTTATGGTCTATGGCGGGCACCATCTTGATTTGTTTTTTTGTTTTTTCTGGCCCCACATCACTGTCACACCAAATGGTTTGCTCAAACTAGCCAGGAATTAAAACTAGCATCTTCAGATCAATAATCATTTCATCTTTCGCAGTTTCCCACTATGCTACTGCATCTTGTATCTTGTCTCAGGCAGATATACTTCCTGTAACCAGAGCAGCCCTGAGTCACAGGCACGCAGATCTCAAAGAGACAAAATACATGCAGCGATATGCCTCACATGGTATTTCACCTCTGACGAATAGGACATCAGATGCACGCTTTTCCATGACGTCAGCCGCCGGCCTTGCTCTCGTCTCCTCTTGTCCCCTCTCCCAGTTCCCTCCCCCTGATACATATTCCAAAATTGTTCCCGATGTTCTCTTTCCAATTGCAGGTCTGTGTGACTACACAAGGGCCCTGTGTAGGCCCTACAGAGCGTAACAAAAAAAAGGCAGTGAGATGAGTAGGAGAGGTGTTATATTTGATATTGTGATATTTTCTTCTTTTCTTTGAGTCAGCCAGTGTAGAGAAATTAGAGATTGTTCTTCTTTCCAGATATTATTTTTATTTTTATGATTTAATTTCATTTTTTCTCCCCATCTTTCTGAATTTCACCTGGTGGTGTGAGTCAGCCATGGCTACTCTCAGAGTGATTTAATTGCACTCTGCCTCCCCTCTTCTCTCAACATGCATTTCATGGAGTATCACTGACGGCCCACTTCTTGGAATATTGAAACACTATTCATGAGTGCAAACAATGAGATTCAGAATTGAACTTCTAATCCGTTGCATATATACGGAACAAAATACAGTAGATCAACATAACACTTATATTTGCTCCCATCGCTCCTCGATCTAAAACTTTTTCTGCATGCACGAAAGGCCTGTTTCTCTCAAATCTTGATTGATCTGATACCAGGTTTTATTGCCTACGATCGATTCTCAAATGCCGGTATTCATACCTTTGATCTAGTCAAATTCATTTCAGGTACTGTATTTGCTGTATCGTATCAGAAAAGAAAGTGGTGTTATCGATTAGTGGACACACATAAGGAGTGGAATGCTACGATCTCCGCTCAGCAAAAGAAAGTTAGATATGTCTGTTACATATTGATAGGGAGCGCCACAATCTATCATTGGCAACCCACCACAGATAAGTGTATGTGGGAAACCCTGTGGCAGTAATGTCTTTGTGAATCTGACTAATGACATCATTGATGACTTAAGACATTACAGCCAATCGAATTCTGCACGAAATGCAAAATGTCATCCCATTCAATATAGCTGATCGGATCGACGGAAATAGAAAGTCAAATATATCCTTCCGAAATCGTGGAAAAAAACGAGTCACTGTAATTTACTGCCGTTCACTCTTGACTTTTTTCTTCTTACAATTAGGTGTGTTATCTGGCTGCGTGCAACACACTACCACTCACAGCAGGAATAGCACACACAACAAGGCATACAACAGAGCACATGGTGACTGATGCAATTATCGCGTGACACAATGAATCAATGATGAAATTCATTGCCACCACATTTAATTATTGATTGTATTGATATGTTGCAGCCAGTCTCTCTCTCTCTCTATCTCTCTCTCTCTCTCTCTCTCTCTCTCACATATGCAAAGATGGGCAGGCAGAAGGTCTGTGTGCTGACGGAAGGTTCGTCAATCCGTCATTGATGGACACCCAATTTTCTGATGAATGATGACACATTGAAAAAAAAAAACACTGACTAAGCACTGATGGAGGTGGATTATCTTACGTTTCCAGTAGATATACATGTATATGGCGGCGTTTCACCGAATAGCCCACCCCTTCATTCTCAACCAAAGCATACTCGGAAGTGTGGGGCTTCACCATTGACAATCTACTTCCCAAGGTGTATTTATTTGGCTTGGTGGCGGACAAATCTCACTTGCTTCTACCCCTGGAAATGTTTTTTTTAGCGTGTGGGAAGGACTGCGTGAGTGGGTGATGTTGGACAATTTGGGAAATAAATAAGTGTGGGGTTAACATTTTTTTTAATGTAGTGTATACTTGTTGGTGCTTCAAAAAACAGCCCAATGCACAGCAGCTTTTTGTAGTTGTTGATAATCCCCATGGACATTGGAGAATGATTTTGTGGGAGTGGCAACCTTGAGAGGTCAATCGTGGCTGCTCTTGGTCCAAATTTCATCGGGCAACATTTGAATTCCAAATCCGGTCACTACTGTGGAAACAAAACATGCTTGATACCATTAACTTCTTCAGTTATCAAGGTGACACTGCATCCACTCCATCCCCCATAAAACATTATTGCACGTTCTCAAACTATAAACAGGAAAGGATTATTGAGGCATCAGAGCCTTTTTCTCCCCGTTATCTTGCAGCAGTTTTACTGTTGGCCGATAGGTGGCACTGTTCCTATATCAGTGGCAAGGGATACCTCGTTGGGATTTGCTAAACGTACATTACATTAAAAAAGAAAAAAAACGGGCCTGCCTTGATTCAGCGTTCATATATGAAGGCCCTCAGATGAAAGTCTTGTTTGTTGTTAATTGGGCAGTTGATTAAAGCACCCCTGCATCGATCGAATCGTCTCCATACTGAACAAAGCGAGTCAACGCTGACGATACTGTGCGGTGGATTTCAAAAGAGGGTGAAGAGGCAAAAACATGACCCTGATTATAAGCATTACTTGGACAAAACATTGTGTCGCTCCGGGGTTAAGAGTATTTTTTTCCGTCCCGTCCTGTGATGCTGATGAGTGTATTGGCGTTGTTTTTGAGCAGACAGAGATCAATGAGGAGCGCTGACTCGCAAGGATGCCACGGAACCGCTGCCTGAGATGGCCACTAATCCGGAATAATTACGCCCTCGTCCTCGTCTAGACAAACAATGCAGCATGCGCATGTGCCGCTCAATCAGCGACTTTTTCAATAAAAGCGGCGCTGGCATTGTCTCCCCCCAAAAATGTACACTCAAGAGTTTTTGCTCCCCCGTTGCCATAATCCCCTTTTACCAACTTTATGCTGCCAGACTGTGCAAGCAATCTATCTCATTCTGAAGAGGATCTAGTATACGTTTCAAACTGCTTGGCTTTAAAAGGTATCAGTCTCTGACATTTTAACACACTAAATTTCTGCATAACTGTGGAATAAATACTCTTACACACTCATGGCATGCTTCCTCTGTTTGCACGCTGAATTTTTGATTGATACTTCTTCCCTTTCTTAAGTTTTCTTTGAAAGCATTCAATTCCAAAGTTTGTACAATGTCACTCACATGCTGCTCCCCCTCTTTTGTAGCCATGATGGAGGTACACGTCCCCGACCAGCCTGTGGTGGCGTTACACAACACGGACGTCATTCTAAACTGCTCCTTCAGTTCCACCGCCCCTTTCAACGCGTCTGACGTGACAGTTTTCTGGCAGCTGACCGACACCAAGCGCAGCGTGTATGGATACAGAGAAGGACACGATCAGCTGGCAGACCAGGCTGAAAGGTTCGCCAACCGCACTGGCCTGTTCCCCCACGAGCTGGGCCTTGGAAACGCCTCGCTGCTGCTGAGGAGGGTGGTGGTGGCCGACGAAGGCAGCTACATGTGCTTTGTCAGAGTGCGGGAATACGGCAGCGCTGCTTTGTTTCTGCAGGTGGCGGGTGAGTTTAGCTTTGTACCACAGACTTTAAAACACATATCCCCATGACAATATGCAACCCCATTTAATGTGAACAAAGGTAACTATGGGAATTATTTACAATTTAAGAAGAATGAGCTGAGCTATCCTGAGTGTCGACCCTGAAACTGACTAATATCAAACACCCACACCAAACCCACTTAACCAAAAGAGCGTGCCGTAATCCATGCACATATTTTCTGCTTTTCCATTCCATGGTAGCTACTTGACTCATCTCTACTCACTCTTTTAGAGTGATCAAACCAGGTAGTAGCATGTTCCTCGAAAATGTTCCTAGTCTCCCGATAGGATATTAGATTGACATGAAGCATTTCTGATTCCTTATTGATAAATCAGATTCATCAGTGCCATATCTCTGCGCGAAAGTGTAAATATAATGCACTCGTATTGCACTGACACTATCTTGTGCCCAAAGCGTTTTGCAGCGGCTAACATTCACCCATTCACGCACACATTCATACAGTACATCAATGGGCAGCTCCTTCCATGCAAGGAACTGCCCAGCCCGCGAGGAGAAAATTAGAGTTCAGTCACCCTGAAATGTCAAAATTACACAATAAACTCCTGCTTTCGTTGCTCAATACATGTTGCTGTGCCCTCGCTCTGGACACTGCAGTATTATATTTCATAGTTTGCACTTAGCTGCAGTAAGTTTTCTTTCTCTCGTCAGTCTCCTCTCTGATAAAATGGAAAATCAAATGACACAAACCTAAACTGAGTGGTCTGGATGGTATTTCACAAACCATCCAGTCCAATATCGGTGTAGTCCTCAATACCAGTCATTATTAGCAAAAATAACAGTCTGGAGGAGACGTGTTGTACTTCTTTGTAGTTTTGCATGTCCAAGGTAAAGACAACATCACTCAGTGGTCTATTTTTGGACTATCTCCAACTGAAGGAATTATTCAGAGTCATTGCAAGTAATATCCTCACAAAGTGTAGTTTTGGAGGCTAACCCCATTGTCTCTTTTCACATTTCAGCATGATGGCACATTAGCTAACTAAGCTAACTAATGCTGTATGTGTAATCATGAAATCCAATTTAAAAAAAATATATACTGTATATATAAACACTCATACTATATGTATGACACGTATGCGCATCCCTAGCATGCAGGAAGTAAACGTGATAAATGGTTTCCCCAGGGCAGGGCTGCTGCTCGACTGCGTGTCTGGTCAATAAGCGCTGATGGTGGCCTTTGCTGTGGTCAATAGCTCCTGACTTTGACTATCAGCCGTTGTTTTGGTTTAAACGGCCTTTACTAACATCTTCGCTGTTTACATGACGGTAAAGGGCCACCGTTCACAGCAGAGACTATTAATTTATTTACAGTGCAATGGCACATTTTTATATCCATTGAGAGATGGCTGTTCTATTCTCAGAGGATGGCTGTGCATTAAGTAGTATTAATGAATAATTTTTTTTTTTTCCCCCTCTTCCCATCGTGGCTGGCGAGAGGCAAAACAATGTCTCCCAACGGTGACAAATTGGTTCCGTTTTATGCATGAGATTTATAGATGTTTCTATTTTTAAACAGCATCCACGGTTAACATTTTATATTTTCTTCCTGCTGCCAATGCAAAGAAGCCACAATACTGCATGTAGTTCACTTCAGTTATGATCTGATTCATTTCAATCACTACATGCTCCAATTATCATGACATAAAAAAAAAATCTAGATCATTAGCACAACTCACCATTGTTTTTAAATTGCCTGTTTTATAACATCTTTACTGGAAACTAAGCTAAATAGCAAGTACTTCAACATTTTATCAAAACAAAATACATTTTTAAAACCAAATGAAAATGATGATGAACAGAGAAATGGATTCAAATATTTTTTGGCTCAACAGTACAATACATGTAGAATCATCTAAAACGGTGACCTGCAAAAAAATAAATAAATAAAAATCACACCTTAGGAATAATATGCCTCAACATGGAAACATAGTCATTTCTAAGTTATGATCCTACGTACGGCGCCAACATCTTTGGGTGGATTCTAATGCTTAACTCATAGTCCACAAACCGTATTCATGAAAGATGCTAACTGCCCCGTGTTCATACTGAGACAATTCTGTTTGTGCTGCCAGTGTACTTTTTATGAGGACCCATGCATATTCACGAGTCCACATTGCTTTCTTTCTTGCTACATCCAAAAATGTCGCCACACTTACTGCATATCTTGAGGACACATAGTGGTATGGCACACTCAGGTGACACTCAAAATACAGCAAGGTTTGGCCAATACTTAAATAATTGTGGTCAATGTGTCTCAAAGAAGGCTTAAATCTAACTTCCTTAAACCTGTAGGTAGGTACTTGATGGTACGGAAGAGTGCTAGTTTGCAGAAAGTGTAGTAAATCTCGTCTCCATACCCAAGGTCCATGTCTCACCAGCAGGTCAGACTGACTGATATCATCAAAAGCTCAGCTCCACCCCCCTGTTTGCTGTGCCATGATTGGCTTTGGGAATAGTGCAGCCACTTTTCTCTTCCACCTTTGTACTCTTGCTGCAGCTCAAGGGATTGGCATTTGGGATTTTCGCCGAGGTTGACATTAGACCGCCACCATGCCTACACTCTTTTTACACAACCTGGGTTGTCCCCAAATCTCAAGAGTTTTCTGCCTATCTGCAACTCCTGGCCTAAACCATAACTTTTTTTTTTTTTTTTTTTTTTTAAAGAGTGGCTCTGTATTTTGGCACTCTGGGGAATGTTAAGATGCAGCGTGCCTGTGTGGGATTGTAGGATTTAACGTTTGATGCTAAGTGGCACTAAATGTAATTTATGCCTTAATGGGAATGATATACAGTAAACCATTTCCCAAGATAGTTAAACTAAACTCTGGAAGTTTTGATGCTTGTCTAAATCATCCATAACTTTTACCCATCAGACATATCCGTTTTTGTCAATTGCCTCAACTATCAAGAATTATAGCATACTACCCACATCCGATTTATTGTCTTGCTGAAGTTAGCCCCGCTCAGTCATGCAAGTGAATGACTGTATTATTTGCCCCATATACTGAACTACTGAGCCAGTGGTGTGTCAAAATCAGAAAATGATGACCATGGGCGGAGCCCTAGAGTTAGGACCAGAGTGGCTTCTGCTCGAGGTAGCAAGGAAGAGATTCACTGGGGGAAAAAAAAGTGCCCATATAGACTATGAAAGCATTTTCATTTTTAGAGACGGCACTTCATACATTACACTGTGCTTACGGACAACATTGGACTCGGCCATTGCTTTGCCCAGTCGAGCTGATGATGTCCGAGAAACTTGGATGTGGGGGATGTTATCATGTAAATTAGACCAACAAACGGCGGACAGATTTGCAGAACAGCTCGCTCAGAGACCCATTTTTATAAATGGGCAGATAACAAAAGATTTTCTTGGTTGTTTAATTTCACACTCGATTGGTGAGCAGGCACTCAAGCGACCCACCTATTTGTATACAAGCACTTAAAAAGTCAATTTTCCATCACCTGTTCCATTTAAATCCTTGTATTTATCCAGCCCCTTACTCCAAGCCTGTTGTGACCTTGGAGTCGGAATCTAACCTACGGCCTGGTGAAGAGGTGGCCCTCACTTGCGTAGCTTACGGAGGCTACCCGGAAGCCGACGTCATGTGGCAGGATGGGGGTGGCCGCAACCTGACGGACAATGTCACCACTTCGGTGGTGGCCAACGAGGAGGGTCTGTTCTCTCTGACCAGCGTGCTGACAGTCGTACTGGAGCCCAACAGCACCTACAGCTGCACGCTCATCAACCCGCTATTGGGGGAGGAGGGGAATGCCTTTGTCACCGTCACAGGTGGGTACACCTCTGTTTGCCATTCTCTTTCGGGACGACTGTGGCCGTTTTTCCACAGAGCCTCACTATTGCTGTTACTTAAGACCACTTTTCCTTTCTTCAAGAACCCAGTAAAGCTGGGTCGCACTTTTTCAGTCGTCGTGGTAGAAAATGGGATTCAACTCAACAAAAAGATCTGTCATTGGTCTAATAAAAATTGTATTTATCAGGAGTACAAGTGGTATTGGTCACTAGATATCCGTGAATACTTGTAGTGGTATTGGTCTCCAAAAAAGTATGATGTAACATTCATAGTATGGGATGTTGGCCAGCTCCTTTTTCAGCCAAAGCTCCTGTCAGAACCGCGTTTGGAGTGGTGCAGCTCAATGTGGTTATTCATAAGCATTGTAAACAAACGGCGAGGTGGGAAAAAAAAGTTCAATTGTGCCAATATTCTTTGCCAAGTATACAGCCGCTTATTTTTCGCTGGATCGGACCTGCTCAAGTGAATCGTGATTTGGCCTTGTATGGCCACTAAGTCTCATTCAAGATGCTTTTATTTTTAATGAGTCGCCTAATTAAATCTGCTATGTTGTGATGGATATCCCGTTGTTCAAGATTTCCCTGTTTCCTGATGAGGCAAGAAAATATATCCAGTGCAAAATAAATGCATTTCAATTTAGATGATTTTGACTTTTCAAAAATGGAATCTTATCCTGCGTAGGAGGCTGTCTCCTCATCACCAGGGTTGCCATGGCAATTGAAGCAAGTGGTACAAGTTTGTGTCAAGTTTGACGATTATGTTCTCCAAGGGCAAGCAGGAGATGATTTGGAGCAAAGATACTTTTTGCTCATGAGGAAAGGAACTGATTTGATTCCTATTTTCTAATCCTCTTGAACTTCTGATTTGACAGATTCGATAAAATATGTTCAGTAGGTTTCTAATAGGCTGGACCAAACTACATTCCCCGCTTTAAATCCCCCTCACCCTGCAATTGCCCTTCTTTGTTAAGTGCAGGAGGAGGACTGCGTAAGGTAGGCCAAGGGCCAAGGTAGACCAGGTCTCTAATGGAGGCACAACTGTGTGAAATAACTTATAAATTATAGCAGAGGTGGACCGGACCTTCTCTTTGGGCTTGAGCTGCTGCTAAAACTTGGGGGCAGGTGTAGTGGAGGTCCAGGCAGAGGGTCACCGTGTATTGCTCCACTGGGCTGGGAAATGAATGCGCTGTCTGGAAACTGGAGAGACAAGTGGCAAGAGTGGGCTAAAAGGAGGTTGGCCTTCAATGCACTTTGGGCGGCCTCTTTCAAACCGTACAGGTGGAGTCATGTTGCGTTATACGTGTGAGAACTGTAACTCCATCAGCAGCCCCCGTTGCCATTTTACTCAACTCATGGACGAGTCCACACTGATTTGGTGCTTAGTTGAAATGAATATGAACATTTGATCACAGTTTATATCAAGGCCCCTTTACAATTGACATCAGGGGTCATAACGGTTATTTTAATCATGAAATATTAATCAGTCACTTATTTTGACGATTACCGTATTTTCTGTACTATGAGGCTCTTCAGATTAGATGGCGCACCTTCAGTGAATGGCCTATTTTAAAACTGTTTTCATCTATAAGGTGCACTGCATCATAAGGTACATAGAATAGAAGCTACAAGAGTGTCTGCGGTTGCGCTATGCATCCATTAGATGGTGTTACACTAAAGGGAATACAATACAATACAGCTTTATGTGTATAGAACCTTCACAACCGTTGCAGCTGTAATAAAGCCATGAGAACTTGTCACAAACACGGACATGAAACATATAAATACAAATGGCACTAGAAAACAATAAATCAAAGACAAAAGTTATGAAGACAATTGATTCAACAAAAAGGCACGCAAACCTCGTGGGTTCACATCTACAAGGGGCTAAATATCCTTAGAAGTCGAGAGGGCGCACTGTTGGCTTTTGAGAAAATTGAATGCTTTTAGGTGCACCTTATAGTGCGTAAAATACGGTAATCAAAGAATTCTGTAAAAAGGAAAAAAAAAGTTTTAATTTCCATCCCTGTATTCAAAGACATTATTGACCAGTGCAGGAAATGCATCAACATAAATTCATTATGACTCAGTTACAGGTTTAGTCTGAAACATCAATGTCTCATTTCAAAACAAACATGATCAGTCTGCTTTAACTAATGGAGCACGACAGAAATCTGAGAATCTTTTGCTGTTACTTCTTTATGTGAATGAAGTATCCAATTTACGAACAAGATGTGTTCAGAGAGGCTAAATTGTTGGTAAGTCGTCATAAATTTCAATCCATAACTGACATTTGCAGTCATTCAAATACCATTACATCTTCAAATAAGAAAGTACTATGACCCTAAGGCTTACCAGAAGCAATTACAGGACATACAAACAACACATAAACATGATTATACACGAGATGATAACAAGAAAATAAACAGAATCGAAAAATCCTGTCGTACCTTTCTGTAATTTGCATTTAGAGTGAAGTCGATGTGCGTTCACATGAACGAACTGTTTAAGCGATGCCATAATCCATCCATACATTTTCAATACCACCATTTACTGTTGGGTTGTGTCAAAATTACTGCTGTGAAACAGCTCATTAAAACATTGTAGTAAATCTTGACATTCCTTTGGGAGGTGGAGAGGAGCCGTGCTGTGAATACAGCAGCATCTTTATGTAACATGATTGACAGGTTGATAGGCCAAAATTTTAACACAATTTTCAAGTTTCTGCAGACCATCAGAGGCCCTCAAATTAAATCCAGATCGGTCACTAGAAGAGGTGCTTTGTGGGTTTTGATTCGAAGCGGCATGGTCTCTTATCTCCTCAGATCATTCTCCGTAACGAGAGAATCAGTTATAATGAGTTTTGAAGAAGCTGGCCAAGATCCAAGACGGAAAAAAATAAATAAAGACTTTGCAAGCGTAGTCACATTACAACATGTAACATTTCTTGTTGGACAGTGAAAATAGCAAACCCAGAAATACACCACAGAAGACCCTTAATTCAAAAGTGGTAATTTTAAGCAAATGGGTGCAGTTAAGGACAAAAAAAAAAAAAAAGCAAGAAGAGTAATTTCTTGGTGTACACGCCAGCACAGCTTGATGACACTTGCTCGTAAACATGTAGGGAGATATCCAATATTTTTGCACGGGGGCTGGTTTGAAAGGAAAATGTATGTGTTTACAACAGCTGCTGTGTGCTTAACAGCCACTGTAATTAATGTTGACCCCGCCGAACTCTTCTGCCGGTGTAGCCGAGTGGAGTGCACCAAGCTCGAGTTGACACAGTGCTTGTTGTGTACACAACACAAAGCTGCCCGCTCCCTGCGTACTCCACAATGGCTGCGATTTTTGGCGAGCACCATCAGGGGTCGCCAGAGAGTCACATGCATGATTTGTTTGGCACAGTTTTTACACCTGATATTCTTCCTGGGACAAGGCAAGAATTTTTTTTTCAATCTAGATTAACAACGGAAATGACAGTCAGTGTATTGGGTCACTGGCTGGGAATCTAACCCTGTGCCATCTGCATGGCTGCTTAAATTTATGGTTGAACTCATCCATCCATCCATCTATTATCTAATCCCTTTATCCTCACGAGGGTCGCGGGCTTGCTGCAGCCTATCCCAGCTGTCTTTGGGCAATAGGCGGGGGACACCCTTAACCGGTTGCCAGCCAATCACAGTGTGGTTGAACCATGACAACTAAAACACAAACCAAGGAAGAAATTCACGTGGCTTTCGGTGATCAACTTGACAATTGACAATCAGTTTAATTTAAGGCATGTTGGAACTTTGAAAGGCTCTTGAAGTCGATTCAACAAAATGCGACTGCATTTCCAAGTCTGCAAGCCTATTTCATTGTGTCTCATCAACATGTTGAGTCCACAAAAGTTGAAACACACACTACCGTCACCCACAGCACTTAAAGTGGAGTAATATTGATCTGTGTGAGCTTTTGGTCTGTAATATGTTAATACTTCAATCGTTTGCTTTGACTTCCTGTCGCAGGCGATTAACTCATTCAGTTCAAAAAATCTTTAGCAGCTTTAGCTGTATCAAGCATCTCAGAGATGTTATCTTTCTAAACCCTCATTCTACCTCTGGGGTAATTTGGTTGTGCTGGGATATTATGGATTTTGCAGCGGGGATCCATCTGTAAAGAATGGCGGGTATTAATGACTAGGAGAATGTTGGAAAGAAGCATGTTCACGTCCTCAAATGAGCTGCTCTCTCTCCTGCTCGGGTTTTAGCTTCTCACTCTCATCATCCTCAAAAGTTAATTCTGACATCTTTAGTCTCTCTTAAGGGGAAAAAAAAAGATGTTTGGGAGAGGGTGGGGTGGTTATAGCTCAAGAGTCCCGTTTCTTATCATTTACTACTGATTCTCCCATGCGAAGGCAAAGATTTGGCCGTGTATCCAATCATCCGGGTTGGTGTGATTGCCACAGCAAGTTTTGCTGCTGGCCTAATTTCAAGACAACTCCCACCCCGACTCACCCAGCATTCCCAATGAAGCCGGGCGTAATGTCCTTAGCATTACTATGCTTGCGCAGCGTTTACTGGCCAAGTGTGGCAAGAGTGTGACATACAAACTTTGGCTGTTTGTAGATCGAGTGCTGTTCAAAGGAACTCGGCCAACTTGTAGCTTTCATACTGTCATCCTGTAATCAAACTCAAATTTTGTTTTCCCACTTGGTGCCATTTTGCGTTAGGTGAAGACAGTAATTGAATACCCAATCTCATTTGTACTCTTAAGTTCAGGTTGATGTCAAAGAATGAGACCATTGTCTTACTCTGTGTGTCTTTCAGTGACTGTGTTATATGGTAAGCAAGATCATTTAGTATGTATGACCTTTTAAAATGTACTATTCGTAAACTAAGTATCAGTAGTACAAAATAGAGCAAAACATGTTTCTGTCGACGGCAGGGGGGGTGCATCTCTCCCATACCAATTCAATACATGTCTCGATCGATACATATGGG